TTTATTACTTTTTAACATGACTATGAGAAAATTGAAATGTATATGGGCCATATTTTATTTTATTGGGTAATGCTGATTTAGCATTTTAGCTCTGCAGTATACCTTAGGGATCATTTAACTTAGATTCCTCATTCAACAGCTGAAGACTGAGGCTCAGAAAACTGCTTTGTCCATAAAATCCTCAAATGGAGCCACGCAAGTTTCTTGGCTCCACCCTGGGCTGGGGCCCAGTCACTGAATCTGCTTTATATCACTTGACTAAAAGAGAAGGAAGTACTTCCAGATCAATTTTTTAAAAACAATATTTTGGGATCCTGGATTTTTTTTCTTTAAAAGCCTTCTCAAATTCCTAATTTGAGGGAACAAAAGACTGTATTTGCTCTATCTAATATGTAAAGCATCAATAAAGTTTTAATGGCCAATTTTATTTCAAAGTTCATTTGAGATAACCACTAAACTATATGGAATGCATTGAATGCAAAGTATTTTTTAAACTATTAGTCAAATCTATTTCTTTTTTTCTTCTTTTTAAAGATTTATTTATTTATGCTTATAAGAACTGGGGTACAGGTGAGAGGATTCACCAGAGACAGAGGAGTGGGGAGCACAACAGGCAGATTGATGGAGTACACTGCTGAGGGGAGCAGCAGGCGGGTCAGGAGAGGTCTGCTGCACCATGTGGGTCTGCAGTGGCTGTGGACAGCTTCATAGTGCTGTGCTTTAACCCATTGTGCCACCAGGGAAGGCCCTTAATCGAATCTATTTCTATCGAGAAGGAACTGTCTTTGTAAAGAGTTTTGTATTATTAGTAAATTTATGTTAAAGTAGAAAAAAAGTCAGAGGACTCATTTTGCACAAATAATGTAAATTGCTTTCCCATCCAGTGTGGCCTTGGCCCCCACAGCCTTCTCTGCTGAGCGGAGATTGGAGCACTTGCAAAATGAACCTAAGGTTAAGCTGAAGATGATGGGAAAATTATAGTGCAGAAGCCAAATGTTTCTAATGCATATTTTATGCCTTCTGAAGTAAAAATTATACCTTATAATGAATGGTGTCTCTGAGGACTTGGATATGTTGAGCAAATCTTCAAAACTGAAGTTTCAAGACTGGAAATGTAACATTTATCCTTTCCCATTATGTTGGTGTCTGGTTTCTTTCTTAAATCATTATATTCAAATATACTTAAAACAAAATAAATCAGGTACCTATTTTTTTAATGCCATTTAAGAGTGTCATAATGCAAGCAAGCAGCATGCACATCCCATCGCTGCTTTAATGGTTCTCTTTGTAACTTCCACATCTCTTTCACTTTTAGAACTGCTCTAATGTCTCTGCAAAGAGCCTGCAGCAACAACTGGACATTCTGGAGGGGGACAGTGTGAACTGGCGTGCTAAAGTGGAGGCGTATGAACAGAACCTGACCTGCAGCTTGGGGTACTGTACCACGAGGGACGAGATAAATGAGGTGGGCTGGCAGGGCAGAAAGGGGGTGTTGACAACACTGTCATGAACCTACATACCCCCTGGATATGCACACACCCTCACACCACATGGACTCAGATGACTTTCACCTCTGACCTTTAATCCCAAAGGTGATGGCCTCAGGGCTCAGAAAGTTTGAGCAAACTTCAAATTCCAAAACTTGTTGAAGTTATGTTGTCAATGGGTAGAAAAACCCTAGAATGTAGAATTTCAGTGTTTTGGTTGCTCCCCACCCCAGCCCTCCTTGCTGCCATTTGATTGAGTAGTTACAGAATGTCAGGGCAGAAAGGGTGACACCATCCTGCTCCTGCTGTGACCAGTTCCAGCCTGCTGAGATTCTATTTCAGTGTCTGACTCATGGTGAAGGGGTTGCAGAGGGGCCTGGAGCAGACTCTGCTTCAGAGGCTGAAGTTTTTTCACCAAGGTCTAGTGATTGGTTTCATACTTACCCTACCCTAAGTGAATTGCTTTATTTTGTTAGTGCTTTTTTTTTTAAAAGATGTATTTATTTGTACATACAGAACTGGGGGATAGGTCAGAGGCTCAGGGGCAGTGAGAGGCTTAACCAGAGACAGAGTGGGGAGCAGAACAGGCAGATCTACGAGGTACACTACTGGGGGGAGCAGCGAGCGGGTCAGGAAAGGTCTGCCATGCCATGTGGTCACCTCCGGGGCAGGCAGGAATCAAACTCATGCTGAAGTGGCTTTAGCTTCTCAGTGCAGTGCTTTAACCCATTGCGCCACCAGGGAGGGCCACATTTTGTTAGTGTTTTTTAGAATCTTATTATCAGTTTGTACTCATTTACATCTCTACATAACATTGGGGGTACATTGTCACACCTCCTTAGGTGCATATGTTTCATTTACTCTCCACCAGTGCTCTGGTGCTAGAGACCAACCCCCTTCTTCCCTTATCCTATCCTTCCTCTCTCCTGTTCCCTCTGGTACCCAGTTTATTTTTCAAAGCCTAAGAATTTCTTTTGTCCTTTTCCAGCATGTGTTGTTTGGTGTTTATATTCTACAAGTAAATGTACCCATCTTTCACATTCTGACTTATTGCACTTAGTACAATCGCCTCAAAATCCATCCCTTTTGTCCCCAAAGGCACTATTTTATCTTTTTAAATAGCTGAGTAGTATTGCATTGAATCTCTATTCCACAATCCTTTATCCAGTTACTTGTTGTTAGTCATTTAGAATGTTTCCATGACTTGGCTATTATGGATAATGTGAATAATGTTACTACAAACATAGAAGTGTATTAAATCTTTCATGTTAGAATTTTTATATTCTTTGAGCAAATGGCTACTGGACTGTATGGCATTTCCATTCTTTTAAGGTATCTTCATACCACTTTCCATAGCTCTGCACCAAATTACATACCCAACAAGAGTCAAAGTATGTTTCTCCACACCCTCATCAGCATTTCTTATTTCCATTCTTTTTGATAGAAACCATTCTCACAGGGGTTCAATATCCTGTTTTGGTGTTAATTTGTTTTTTCTTATAAGAAGTGATACTAAACATTTTTCATGAGCCTACAGGTCATCTGAATGTCTTCTTTTGAGAAATGTCTATATTTTTTGTCTACTTTTTGATTGGGTTATTTGTTTTCCGTTGCTAAATTGTGTGTACCAAGTGGCTTTTCTAGCAAAATATCTTTTAGAGAGAAAGAACAACAGATGAAAGCTGTTCTCCAAGTTCACTTGTGATCCCATCTCCTCTCCCTCCATCCTACCCAAACCCAGGTATTACTGAATAACCACAACCTCCTCCCTCCTCTAACTGAGTTTTCAATTCAAAGGCCTAACTTGTTCTTAAGGAAAATACAAATCAGGATAGCAAAATTCCTGAACCTTAACTAGAAATTGGCAGCAGAAGATATAATTCCAGATTTACCTCAATTTAGGGCAAAATATTTCTGAGTCAATTAGCATACAGTCATTAGGAAGAAGTGGGGAGAAAAGTAAGTAATAAACTTTTTTGAATATCTTGTTAATGCTCAGCTTATCCAATAGGCACAAAAAGTACCAAATACTATCAAACAACTATAAAGCATGGTTTAAAACATGACTAAACTTGATTGATGGCCTATCTCTGGAATGTCCTCTCCTGTGGGCCATGATTTTATAGACTGCAGGTAAGTGAGGGAAGGGAGTGAGACTGGAAGGAAAGTGAGAAGACAGAGAGCAGAAGCCACTTGGATCCATTCAAAAGGAAAGAAGCAGGATCTCTAACTTAGCTTAGTGGGCTTCAGGACTGTAGGAGTTTCTGCTCAGTCTATGTTCCAGGGAGTCAATTTGGGTTAGAGACTTGTTAATTATTAAAGTTTAACCCATAGTTTAGCTGTCTGTATAGAATGGCCTCTTAGCTCTGTATTTACTGAAAGCAAAAAATGGAGCAGTCTAAGGGGTCATCCCCACTTCCCAGCCCTCCCCCCACCCAGACTTGATTTCTATTTTCCTAAGTGCTGTGGTATTCATGGACCTGGGTCTCCTTGTTCAGGCCCTTCCCAGAGTGGTTCTATTTACAGGGCTGCCTCGTGATGAGCTTGTGCTGGAAACCAGCCAGCGGGGATAACAGATGTCCCTTCCAGTCATAGTAGGGATGCCCTAGGATTGTCTGTTCTATTACAGGAATAAGCAACCAGATAACATGTAAGTTTTATTTTGAAGTCAGATATCACTTTAGCATGAACTGAAATGTTCAAAGAGCTGTCTTTTCATTTGCTTTTACTTCACATTCAGTTAACTTTAATGGAAGTTGCAGTCCTACTCAGAAAGATTCTTTGAAAAGTTTTGGCCAATTTTCCTCTGTCCTTTCTTGTAGCATGTCACCACCATGTAGTACCCACACACTGGACTTTCCTACCATAAGCTAAATGGAAAAAAAAAAAAGTAGTATGATTTGGTTTGGTTTGGTTTTTATTTTTATACTGTTCTTGTTTTATATATATATTCTTGTATAATTTTCTTACATAGTTGTCTTACATTTGGACGGTATTTGATTTCTCCCCTAAGATGTATTCACCGTAGTTCTCCCACCTCCATGGTATCTGTGACCCATCACCACATCTCTTTTGCTCTGCTCCCTCTGCTGTTTGCCTCAAGTCTGTGGTCAGCTTACAAGTTTTATCTTTTCCCCGATCCTTTGTTTGGTTTCCCTAATATGCATATAAGTGAAACTACCCAATATCTATCTTTTTTTCCCAGAATAAATATTTTCAGTACCTTTTAGTAAAATTGAGATATGCGTGTTCTAGTTTGTGATATGAATATCAAAATGCAAGCAGATGGCCAGATTCCAAGGGTGAATAATATTTGACACCTACGTATTGTAGTTCTTAGTTTGAGCTGAAGATTTTATTGGACACCAACACATATGTCACCTAATATTTTAGCCTACTCAATCACTGTATGGTTTTATGCTAAATGTTTTCTTTTATAGGCTTTCCTCTTCTTTGCTTATTGTCTGCACATCTTTTATAAGCTGATTTTATGATTTGATATGTAACACAGTTCAGTTGATTATCTTGACAATGCCATGACTAACTTGTATGATTTTAACTTTTCTAATGGCCCCTAGGAAAGGACTCAGTGCCTCTAGGCAAAGTGATTATTTTAAAGTCATTTTTTATCCAAATGTGATTTTTGTGATGTGACATTCCTTAGAGACAACAAAGAATCATGGTTTGGGGCCGTAATTATCATTGGGTAAAATATTATTTTCTAATTTCATACACCATGGAAAACAAAGGAAATTATAAAACCTGATTTTCTTCATGTTTACCTATTAGAAAACAAAGGCACATATTGCCAGCTTTTGTGTTGTTTTCCATCCATTTCTCATGAAGATAAATTTGTATGTCTGAATATTGAATTTTGCTGCATATTTTCTTGCCTGGCTATATAAATAAATTGCTAATACAAAGCACTATAGACATTCTCTGCCATATTACATGACAGAATATTACTATTTATTCATTCTTTTCACATCTTCATTTAGAAATGTAATGAGTTAACATTGAACATATTTTTTTTCTTGCAACCTGACCCAAAAAATTATCTTTACATTTACATGATGTTAATGGAAATTTGTAACTGGAGTCTCATTATGGGTCACAAGCAATTACTCTGGTGAAAAGAATAGTAATGACAGAATCGGGTTGGAATCCATTTTCTCAAAATAAGTTTTGCAAATACAAGTTTTCATATAATTATTTCAGCATGAAGTTCTTACACTGTAGCAATGTCTTACCCACCAGGAAGGAAGCAAAAAAGGACGAGGGTATCTGTGTAAGTATATGTATATGTTCCATACATGGCTTGTGTTTTTGTGTTCCAGTCAAACAAATTCCTCTTTCAATTTGCAGAAGTTGGTTATCCGAATTACAGGGAAAGAAGGCAGATAAGAAGCAGTAAATTACCACAGGGGAATAGTGCTGCTGTAGATATACACAGACACATAGAGCTATTCAAATTAAACATCTTGACATTGTATAGCACATCTGTCACACAACGACAGAATGATCAAGGCAACCACTCTCTGGCAAGTAAGGAAGCAGAAAAAGAACACAAAGCCATGCAATGGGAGTAGCACCATGATGCAGTACAGATATGTCCAAGATTGATAATCCTAACTCACCCTTAAAGAATAAAGAACTAGATCCTTGTCATTCAACATGACAACTGGGTGACGTATCATAACATTATAAAAGTCCTTGGGAAACTTAGAGCTCATGGCACATGAAAGCCCTTTGTGCTTCACAGTCACAGCTGATCATTGGGCCTGACTCTGGGTCCTTTTGGATGGTCTGTGTGAGAGGATGAGAACAATTAGAATTTATTCTGAAAGTGCCCATCCCCTAGGGTTGAAAGTTTGGTGTTTAACATTTGCAAATGGTACTTTTTCCTAAAGAACATGAGAACTGAAGTTTAAAAATTATAGTTATCATGTCCAAAAAATCAAATTTAAGCATATTACAAACTTGCAATGGGTAAAATAGCTTCTACTGAGGCATACTGCCACCTACAATTTAAAAAAGAGCAACTGTCTTCTTTTTCCAAGCTGCCCAACTTGCTGCTGATCCAAGATTGACCTTAAGCTGAGAACAACCACGTGGTTGCTGAATGGGAGGAGGTCAAGAAAGTCTTATCCTAGAACATCGCCAGCACTAAGGCTTAATATTTTGCCACTGATAATCAGAGCAAATCATCTGGGTTAAATTATAAATCTTTGGGTTCATTCATTTCAAGTGGAGTTTTTTCTGGGAGGTGATAACACTGGCTTTCTGTTACTGAAAATGAGAGTAAGAAAACTTTTTTTAGTAGTGGGAAAAATGGTGGGCAAGAAATGAAACCCATGAAGTGGACATTAAAGGAAATGTAAATTCAAGACTTGTTTTGTGTTTTTGCATCTGGTCAAGCATTTGACCTAGTTCTAATGAAAGGCTTTCATTTTAAATGCATTTCCTCAGTTTTAAAATGTCCTGTGTCCCTCACATAAATAGGCCTTGCCGGCCAAGACTTACAAATAATACATTCTTGTGCCAAAATTGCCTCAACCAGTTCTGTCAAGACTAAAAATAGAAAGCCAACCTCACTGTCATCAGTTTCCTTTCCTGCTGCTTTTCAAAGAAGCTTGTTCTTTCCTGACCCTGAGAGAGCATTCTGCTTCCTGGGAACTACTCATTCTGCTAGTTTCAAAAGAACTACCATCTTATAGTCTTAACATTTTTTTTCTTCAAATTATAGCTATATTAACTTAATCTGTTTATTCCATACCAAACATAGAAGAGCTAAGCAAATGGAAAGATAAGAAAATCATATTATTAGGAAAAAATATCTTCCCCCTGATTTTATTACAACTTTCAGAAAATTTATTACTATGAATTCTGACATGCAAAAACTTCCAGTGCAAACTTTCCTTTGCCCCACGCTTTGCATAGTTATGTGCTCAAACTGAGCAGTTGTCTTAACCGTCTCCACCATTCCCCATGGTTGACAAGATAACTAAAGTTGGCAACAGCTGCACGAACAATGATACCACAGTCAAGCAACATAGCACTTAGTTCCTTCAAAAATATGAACACAAGTTATGTGGGGATTAGATGGAACTGAAGCTTTCCTACTGGAATGTACAGGTGAGAGTACAAGGCATGGGGAGAGTACAAGGCAGAGTTTTCTGAGAATCTTGCTGAAGATTGTGCCTGCAATGGTCATGAATCTGAGCTGGGAAAGGTCTGGGATTTAAAGCAGCTTCCAATGAAACCAAAAAGTACCAGCAACTTTGTCAAAGGAGCTCATGTGTCAGAGAGAAGATAATCCCATTTCACATACCCACAGCGTCATCAACATTCTGTGGCTTTATAAATCATCTTGAGGGGAAGTGCATATCTTCTCAGCAAACAGGAATAAAATGGCATTTATAATTTATCAGTCTTAAATTTCTTTATCCAAAGTAGACTTAGAATGCCATATATTAGAATAAAGTGTTAAGGCTCTCTCTTTCTCCATTCATTATGTAGTTTCAAATAGATGTTGATCTTTCCCATTAAAACAAGCAGATGGAACTCGCCGATTTTCAGACTGATGACAGAGTCCTACTTCCTTTCTTTAAACTCAAGTTCATAATAAATGCCATGTTACACTAAAAAAAATACACATAATATGTATCATATTAATATTTTCCCAATGGTGTAACTATTAGTGCATTTTATTCTCCTTAATATTTCATTTTATTTTATTATGCCTAATCTATTTTATTTACCTATACAATGAAAATATATTTCACTTATTTAAAATTTTAATACTAAAAAATATTTAGTATTAATCATTAAATTTAAGTACATTCATGGTATTGTACATTCTTAATATCCATCTCCAGCACTTTCTCATCATTTCAAACTGAAACTCTGTATTCATTGAAACAATAGCTCCGCAGCAGATGATGTGTGTGTGTTTTTTTTTAATTTATTCATTAATGCATACGGAACTGGGGTACAGGCCAGAGTTGAGGGGCCATGAGAGGATTTACCAGAGACAGGGTGGGGAGCAGAACTGGCAGATTGATGAAGTATACAGCTGAGGGGAGCAGCGGGCAGGTCAGGAGAGGTCTGCGGCGCCATGTGGATCACCCCTTGGGGCTGGCGGGGATCGAACTCATGCGGCAGTGGCTTCAGTTTCTTAGTGTTGTGCTTTAACCAGCTGTGCCACAAGGAAGGGCCCCAGATGACGTGTTTTAATAGGAGAATCTCTTGTTTGCTTAGACATGGTTGTTACTACATTTATAGTTGTATATCATAACTTCAGGGAAGAAAAGTTCCTAACAATGTTTTATGTAAAAACTAAAGATGTAGTTTCTTTATTACTCAACCATATAAACTTGCCCTCATTTGTCCTTTCTGGCTAACATCCTACATATGCCTATTAAAACAGTGAATGTCAGAGAATATAAATATTAATTGGTTGTTTCATATACATGGTAACTAAATATGATTTTTGAATATTTTTCTTGCATTCAAATGGAGAATTAATTTTCAAATTTTCAAGTTCTATTTATTACTACTCCTCTGAACACCACTAATTAACTATTTGAAATCTTTTATGCGGTCTCTGTGCTTGCAGTTTAAAATCTAATGTTCAACAATTTCACTTACTGTATAACAACACTATTAAATATAGGTGTGTCAGATGGTTAAATCACATCAGTGTAATTTTCATGTGTGCAACTCTCCTAGGACTTGTAAATAATTGTCTCTAAAAAGTGTTAAGGATAGGTTAAAGTTCTACTTTCATAATATATAGATTTGAAATAAGCACTATGAGAAAGCAAGCATTTGCTAGGGCAGTTATGTTTTTCTGTATTAGAAGTCTAAAACCGAGCATGGGCCCAGCTGTTATTCCCACTCACATAATTCATTTGCTACCATTGAAAAGAATTTTAATGTTATTCTGCTTTTCTTAGTTGGAATTTATCAACCATGATATTGTTCAATTCTGCTGTTAAGTGCTTCCATGTAACCTGAAAATGCTTTTTTTTTTTCTGTACTGCTCTTCGCTGTATAGAGAGTTGCCTATGAGTATGTTTATCCTTTTGGAATATAGAGAAAGGCACAGAAAGCAGCGTGTGTAGGGGAGCTGACCTAAATTTTGGTTCCCTGGTAGAGCTGGATTGTTACTAAGATTGCCATGATCCATTCCCTGTTTTCTTTGTGTAGCCATATACTCTGCATACACAAGCCAGCCCTGGCAATCGCTGTCACTTTATTTTTCTGTCTTTGAATGGTTCTTGAAGTTTTTAATTACCCCTATCTAAGAAGTAAATCTCTTCTGAAAATTTGTTCATGAAAATTAATTTTTAGCTGGATTTGAGCTAATAAAGTTCTTTGCCTACTAAATCTCAAACTGGGTGACCTTTTCGGTCCCACTGTAGGTAATCTAAATATCGACACATCACTGACATCTGCTTTGTGAGCAGGTCCTTGGAATCTTATTAAATTTATATGTGATGGCTGTAAGAGAACATCGGGAGGTAAAGGATCTGGGACAGATATTAGCATACAGAGAATAGAATGAATGTAAAAATGATATCAAAAAAGTACAAATAGGAAAAATTAGTCATTGTAAATCTATCATATTTGAAAATTTCTTGTTTAGAGTCCAAAGGATAATCTATAACTACCATCCCAATTATAAATCACAAATCAAAAATTTCAAAATGTTTAGATATTTTGATTTATTACCAGTGAATATCAGTGTTCACATTTTAAAGGACAATGTGATTTTTTTTTCCTTTTTAATGAACTGAAGCTCAAAGAGTCATTCAAGGATGTAAAAAAGAAATTCAACAATTTAAAGTTTAATTACACCAAGAAAAATGAAAAAGCTCGGAACCTGAAGGCTCTTAAATATCACATTCAACAAGTTGATCTGTATGCTGAAAAAGTCCAGGTATCAAGCATGTTTGTGAGTGTGCACATGTGTTCATGTGTGTGGAGGGGTGTGCACACACATATACTACTACAATTATTGCAACATCATCCCACATTTCATTTCTAGATGCCTAAGTTTTTTTTTAAAAGCACTGGGGCTGAAACAGTAGTTCTACATTTTTTATAAAAATTGGGTTCTTTGTGTAAACTATGTAATAATTGATTTATCTCCTAAGATGGCTCCTGAACTGCCAGACAACCCAGCTTCCCTGCTTCAATTCTTCTCCCCAGCACACACACACACACACAGTTTTTGTACAACCCTCTTCCTTTTTTGTCATTCATGTAAGTCAGGAGATGACTACACGGTTCCTGTAGCCTGAACCCTCCTTCAGCACATGGACTGACAAGGTTATTTAACTGTTTTCCCCAGGAAACAGTAAACTAAATAAGGACAATAAAAAATTTGATCATATTGTTTTTATGTATCATTCATTCTCCAAATCTAGAATAGATCCTGGCATATAGTAAATTATCTTTATGTTCCTAAATGCTCTCCTTTCCAAAATGCACTTATAACAATTATGATTTTATATTATAATACAATAGAATATGCAATAATATTTCAATATTTCCAATAATAAGTAAAAAATTACAGAATTTTTTCATGTTTCTCTCAATATTTAAACACTAACTAGTCCTATACTTAAAAGTTGAATGTTGCTTTTAAAACTTCTTTTGCACAGGCTTTGAAAAAGAAAATGGAAAAAGTTGAGAATAAAACTGACTTTATCTTAAATTATCCAAATAGTAAAATTAATGTTCTTTTGGAAGCCATGAAGGATTTGCAAAAGCACGTGGATGAGTTTGACAAAGTTGTGAAAGACTACAAGAAGAATTTGGACCTGACTGAGCATCTTCAGGAGATGATAGAGGAGGTATCTTCTGGCCATAATGGTATCCATATTGTAATGTTGTCTTAAAAAATTACTATGCTACTTCAAAAGAAGACTTCACTACCTATGATTGTTATTAATCCACATGCCATGCTCCTTTTCATGATTATCTCCTTAGTATAATTTCTTAAATTAGAGTTGCTGGACCAAAGTAGATAATTGTTACAGGGTTTTTGTTGTTTTGTCCAATTATTCTTCAAAAAGAGTTTACAAATTTCCTTTCACCAGTAACAAACACATGATAGTTTCCAATTTCTCCATAATCTCTTCAACTGAAGATGTTTAACCATCATGAAATTATACTCACAGTTGGATATCTGTCTGTAGTTCTCAAAATGACTTATTTATTTCACAGAATTTGAAAATATTTTTTTTAATGATCCTGGAATATTTCATGTACAAAAGTTGTTATTCGTACTGTTTTTGCTTTGGTGAAGAGTATAAATGGTAGAAAAAAACCATAAAATATATGAATTTTGACAAGGTAAAGTTAATTATTTTCATACTCCATATTGGAGAAATGCTACACTTTAAGTTCTTGAGTGTCTTTGTAGCCTATTAAGAGATACAGAATGTCTCTCTTCTCCAGTATCACAGTTGACTTTCTATATTTAATACTACTTTAAAGAAGATTAAGATGATTATTCTTCCATATCTGATATATAGGCATGCTGTAGTTCTGTGGCATTTGTTTAAAACCAGCTCCTAATAGTTTTGAGTTTCTATTTCTCACAGGGTAAGTGCTTCTGACCTTAGTCAGGCATACCCTTCCATCATAGTTATTTATATAGAGTGAGGAATAGTGTCAGTTCTCCACTGTTCATTGAAAATATCATGAAGTATCTTCTATAAAAGAAAGGTCAAATGCTATTCTTTAGATGATATTTCCTCAGCCCATGAAATAAATCTCATTCTTAAGAATTACTCATTGGCATGTTAATCAGATAATACATTATTATTATGTTAATTACTTCAGTTAATTAGAGAAGATTTTACATGTTTATGCTTTTTTCTTTCTTTCCTGGATCTTTTTAATGCCATATGATTTTTATACTTCCTGCTCTTCTAAATCTGAAAAATCCCTCTTTAAAATTATATTTTATGCAAATATAAGAATACAAGAGAATCAATGTGTGCCCACACTTTTACTTTCTTTTCTTATCTAATATGCAAGTGTAAAAGTACATGATCATGTTTTAAGATTTTCTTTATTATGACCTAAAAAGCTGAAATCAATACAAATGTAAAATTTGAGGGACAAGGAAATTTCATACTTCTCTGGTCAAAATGAAGAACTTTAGAAGGGTAGGGCATCTAATTTACACTTTGTCTCATAATTTAGTGTCACTTTTGGTATGAAGATGCAAGTGCCACAGTTATAAGAGTTGGGAAATATTCCACAGAGTGCAAGACAAAGGAAGCTGTGGAAATTCTCCACCAGCAGTTCAATAAATTCATCACGCCTTCGGTGCCTCAGCAAGAAAAAAGGCTTCTGGAGATCAGCGACCTCGCTCAGTGCTTATATGGTGAGGTCTCTTTTAAAGTATCTGGTGATTTACCACTGAACTAAACTACAGTCAACCTAATCCAGCAGAAAGCCAGCACGTGGTAGCCTCAGGGTCCTCACCACACCAACCTACACAGTAAAAGACTCAAGATAAAAAGCCCACAACTTGCAAAAGTAAACAATAGGGAATAGAGGAAGGAATGTCTGAAGACTGGAAGTAGCCTGCTGATTTTTAACTACCTAATGTAACCCCTCTTTGTTTTCTTTTCTCCCTCATTCCCATTGTTCATCTCCAGGGTAATAAAACTAGAACAATACTCAGTTTATGTGAACAAAAAGCATCTAATGTCCAGGAAAGTGATCCCTTGCAAAGCATACAAAACTGCAGTAATACTTTAACTGGTGTAAAGTTAAGACAGCAGCCCTGTCATTAATGGAGGGGGTATAGTTCTTGGATATAAGAAAGAGCTGGAAATTTTCCCCTTGTCTTTCTGTCACTGGTGCAATGAACCAGAGAACTCAAATGGTTCTCCTTTTCCAAAGGAAAAGGATGAACACATAAAAAATAATAAAGATTGGAAAAAATAATGAAAATGAATGGGTTGTCTCATTCTTACTATGGTTTCTGTTAAGTGCACCAAAAACTTTTGGCAGCATTCTGCTCCCACAGCACTGTAGCATAATTACCTGGGGAATTTGTCCGCCTTCTCTACTAACCATAAGCTCCTTGACAGCAAGGGAAATATACTTTATCACAGTATTTCATTGCCCATTCACGTCAGGACATGGTAAGTACTCATACAGACCCTGTATATGTTACTTTGTTACTTTGCCCTTCAGTCATGCCCAACTCCTGCCCTGCCTGGTTCTATGCTAACTCTTATCACAAACTGATATTAGACAAATAGTTGTTCTTAGAGTACAGGAAGGAAAGAAGGGACTTCGCCTATTATTTCACTGCAGAATGGTAAGTAGTAAGTGATTAACAAACATTTGATGAATAAATTAATTACTGAATGAACTGGGCGAGTGAACAAATGACATTTATTCACCTGATCAATATGGAAGCATTGAACGTGCATTTTAAACATTTGTGCCAAGATACCTGAGGAATGTTATATGAACATGCCTCATTCACCCTCATCCAAAACTCCAAACCTTCATCCAGTATCAACTCCTTGCCTTCCCCCATCCCCTATGAACCCAGAAATTTAAAGCAAACAAATTCATCACAAAAAAAAAAAAAATGAGTACCTATTATATACTACAAGCAGTGGTTAATATAAAGACAAGCAAAATCTGGTTCCTTCATTAAAGAACCCACAATCTAGGCCTAGCAATCATGATATGGTAAGTGCAGTGAGAAAAGTATAAAATGTGTGCATGAGTCTCCTAAGGCTGCCACAATGAAATACTGGGTGACTTAAACAGAAATTAATTTTCCCAGTTCTGGAGGCTGGAAGGTCATATAGTGACCTGGGCCCCCAGTGACCTCTTCTTTTAAACATTCATTTCTTTAAAAATCCTGTCTCCAAAATCAGCATCATTCTCAAACACTGGAGATTGTGACTTCAGCCTAGGTGTGTGCTGGGAAGACACAATTAGCCCATAACAATGTGCAGGAAAGTTTAGTTTAACTATGCAGTCCTTATAGCCTGAGTTTAAATCATTGCTCCTTCAATTGTTTTCCTGGTCACCTGTGGCTCTTTTAATCCTCAGTTTCCTCATTTATAAAATATATTAGAACCCATAATGATAATGCATGAAAAGGGCTTATCTGTGTACAGTGACTATTTTTATTATTATTCCAGTAGGAAGAGATCTACTTAGGAAACATTAAGAACAACTTCACAAAGATGTTTGTATTGGAGGTAGACCTTGAAGAATAGGTAGGGTTTTGATAGCAATTGCAGGGAGTGAGGGTCTGGAAGACATTCCCAGGATGAATAGGAATGTTCAGTGATGGTGCAGATTTTGAGGGGAGAGTTACCAATTTCGACTGGCCAGGTATTAAATATGTGACAGAATTCAGGTAGGATACTTTGTTGTCGCTTTTAACTGAGGTAGATTGGTTAACAATACTGTATATAGCTTAAATGTATTAACCACCACCCATTGTGCCACCTCTATCACTTGCTCATATCCCATCAACGCTCCGGAATCCAAAGGTTTATTTTGGTTTGGTTTGTCAGCTTCATTGCTTTGTTTCTACCAGGTGTGTTAACTCATCCAGTAGTTGTCTCTCTGTTTCCACTTAGCATAAACATTACAAGTTGCCAAAAATAGCAAGTATCCTTTTTTTTTTTTGTCGCCAAGTAATATTCCATTGTGGATATGTGCCACATCTTTATCCTACCATCCTTTGCTGGACATTTAGATGTTTCATATTTTGATTGTTGTTAATAGCACTGTGAATTTTTCCGTGATTTCAGTTGTTTCATTCAAGTCTTCAATGCATTTGAAGACAGTTTTTGTGTATGTTGTGAAATATTGCTCTATTTTAATTATTTTCTTATAATTTCTTTTCTAGGTAGTAAAGAATCATTGTATATTCTGAACAGGAAAAAAAATCAGTTAAAATGGGGCCTTAATAATATTAATATGGTGGCATTATTTAGGCTACATAAAAGTAATATATTAGAGTATATGTAATCATTTTTCTAAAAATACCCATTTTTGTTTAAAATGCTTTTGTTTTTATTCATTTTATCTGGTCAGTGTGTATGCATTAAGCACTTACTATCCACTAGTCCTTATATCAGACACTAGGAGAAAAATAAATGCCTGGGCTTTATCCCCCCCTGCTAAATATTTAACTTTAAAAAATAATTTTATCCCTTTCAGGTTTGGAAGAAGGGCAGAAATGCACAGAGAAAATAGTGACAAAACACAAGGAAGTCCTTGAATCTATTACTGAATTATGTGGATCTCTCACAGAGCTTGAAGAAAAGTTGCAGGTAATCTCTCCTTTCCAGAATATGTATTTTGAAGTGATATAAATAAAAATGTGTTGATTGGATGTCTTCTGGTACAAAAATGTTCTAATGGAAATTCTCAAGGGACATAATGTGCACATTTGTTTCACAGCTTTCTAACATAATTATCTGGATGTTTCTGATAATTAATTCTGTTTCTTTGTCAACACTACAGAGAAAAATATTGCTAGGAATGAGGGCTAAACACTATTAAGGTGTCTCATTTACATTTTCATGGATCATATCCTAAAGGATAAATGTGTGCCATTAAAGTAAAGATAAATTGTGTATTAAGTAGCCTTATGTTTTAATTTGTAAATGATGAACATAAAGATTTTCCCTCCAAATTTTGGCCCCAGAAAAAATAAATCTATTTTTATATGCTTTGAATCTTTTGCTTTATGGGGATATTAACCTAACCATTAGTGTATTTCATGGGATAAAAAGTTGATGGTAAAACATAAAGAAAATATGTTTATGTCTACATCTAGGCAAAACCCAGTTAAAGAGAGAAATACAGGTATTGTTTGTATTATTTTGTCTATAACATGACTAAAACTTGTTTCATTGGTGCTTTTTTTTTTATAACTGGCTGAAAGGCTTTTTTTGGTGGGGGCAGGGATGAAATGACAGGTAGTAGATTAAAACACATCTCCCTAGGATACCCACTTGTGATTATTGGGTAAATTACAGAATCTCACTGAGTTGTAATTTCCTGATCGATAAAATAGAATATACAGGGGACCTCATTTGTGGGTAACACTAAGGAGTAACTGTGAAGACTTCCATGATTTATTTTGTGATCATTGCTACTGAAACATAATGTTACTTGCAGTTCAGGACAGAATTACATAATTATTATTTCTAGCAACCATTTTTTCCCTATAAACTTGTCTAAATTTGAGTGTTTATTTCATTCAAAATAGTTTTTTTAACATCTTAATAGATTGATGTCCAACCAAATTAGCTTACTTAAAAAATATAGATTTTCAACCTTTTTTTATTTTAAAGAACACTACAATGAACATCTTCATATCACTCTTATGTTCTCTTCTATTATTACCTATGCATAAATTCTCCAAAGTAGATTTGGATAAACGGATGTGAAAGCATTACTATTTCTACTGTTTTATAATTGCAGCATTGCTATAATGGATAAATTGTGACAGATATCTAATTTTTTTTAGCATTTATTGTTTCCTCATCTCCATCTTACCTCTTTACTACCTAACAATCACTGCTTCCTCTGACTTTATTGGTTGCCAGCAATGTCGCTCCCATTTATGTTTTATACCTTAATAAGAACTATTTAGTCATATCTACTCTCTTAAATTTATATTCCTTTTCAACTTCATGACTGTTCTTCCTGAGAGCTATTTCCACTCCCTACCCCTGCTTTCTTATTTTCCATTACTTATACACTCTCTGTAGTCAAGGTTGTGTCCTTACTTTCTCATTCCTAATTTGTCATTTGGATTCTCAATTTCTGTAGTGGTTAGGAGCTTCATAATTATACACTCCTGCCAGACTGCTCTTCTTAAGTACAGTTCTTCTAGTGTCATTTAACATTTCAAAACCTTTCACTACAAACCTATCATTGCTTACCAAATAAACTTTAGACCCAATGCCTTCCAATGTTCAGAAGATGATCCCTTTACCAACAATTGTTCTACATTCTTCATAGTTTTCTGCCTCACTGGTCTACTTGTCTCACATTCCCAGATTCTGTGCTTCCAAACCTTTATGTCGTTGCCCCCCTAGATCTTCAGGTCTCTTAAAGACAAATCCAAATATTCCTTCCTTAGTTCTTTCTGCTTCTGAGCTCCCATAGCAACGTATGTGGTTTCCCATCACAATCAGCACATGTACCCACCACTACCATCCCTACACTCCACTTGACTGTGATTGAGGAAACTGTATGTCTCTGTTCAGGTTAGCATTCCACACCACATTCAACACTTTGCTTTGCCTATAACAGGTTGTCCAAAAATAGTAGTGACATTTGTAGTAAATGCTCAAAGGATTGGAGCAGAGAAAATAATTATTCAGAAGCTCAAAAAGGTTTGATTTGTGTGAATATTGAAATGAGAAAGGACTCCTCTGGCAAGAGAAATCAGTATCATTAGCATTGCCCTTGGGAGTTTCAGCCTGAATAAAATCTTGTCAAAGAATGCTTATGAAAACTTTATAGATGTTTGTATGAGAAGCATAAAGGTCTAGATTTTGTTTTTAAAGTTGGTTGAATGATTCTCTTTTGTAGACATTATTAAAAATAAGTCCAGAAATCCCTGTTGTGGCTAAAATAGTGATAAAAATCCTTTTTATTTGGATAACAACTTAAGATTTACAGAAGATTTTCATATAGATTACCTCAGTGATTTCCAAATAACCTATACTTGAGATAGGCAAATGCTATTTTCTTTTTTTTTAGAGGTGAAGTTCAATGAAGGCAAAAGTGCTTTGCTTGGAATACCACAGATAGTAATTGGTCAATCTGGAATTTGACCTTCTGTTATTCAAAATCTGCCATTCTTTGCGCAACAGCTGCTTCTTTGGTATTAGGCTGCAAGTGGATATGAAATCAAGGGGACTTACCCAGTAAAAAATACCAGCTCAAATTTTAGAGTTGAAACAAAAATATGAATCTCCCCAGAAATGTGTCTCCCCAAACCCCAAGTCAGATTAACAGGTACACTTCACTTTGAGGAAAATACCTTTTTATAGAAGTCTCTTCTCTGATCATGTTCCAGGTGGAACAGAACTTTGCTGCAGGGTAATCAGCATCCTCACCAGGTGTTCTCATCCTCCATGTGCCTGTGACTGTTTTACCTTCAAAATCTTCTCTACTCTCACACTGGCTCTATGGCAATTTGAACATTCCTTATACTGTCATGACAAACAGAGTCTCATGAAATGCAAGAGCAAGGTATCATCACCCACATGAACCAACCTTTATTTTCCATTGTTTTCACATCAGAGAGAGTGATGTGCCCGCATTGTCACAAAGTATAAGGGAAGGACACCTCACACAATGGTGAGAAAACCCAGTCATCATGCTTATGAACTAGAAAAGGATCCTATTTTCAATTGTTTTCTTTACTACACTCAATGATTCTTTCTGCTTTCATGAGACTCCCAATAATATAAAAATGATCTGGATTTTGTACTTAATCTCTACTAGAGATATTTAGTCAGTTCTATCTCCCTACTGCTCCCCCAGACCTTCCTAATGGCTTAAGTGCTGTGCACAATGATTCCTTTCTCTAGGGAAAGCTCCTTAGGTTCATCCTACTGTAATAATGACTTCTTTCCTAATCAGCCTTTGAAAAACTAATTCTGGCAGTGTACTTTATCACAAGAATGCAGTTGAAAGGGAAATATGAGCTTGGAGGGTAATTTTATAGATCACATCACGGGAGTACCTCAATCTCTTCTGGAATGTCTTTATAGAAAAGTTGCAAGTGGCCTTTATTTTCTTCCAATTTGTTGTATGCCACTGTTTCCCCAACTTTCCTTGCCCAGTTCCTATGTCCCATCTCTTTGTACAGCAGAAAGATGTTTTACAGATGAATCTGAGTTTAGAAGACCTCCACAATATTGTAACAACCTACTAAAAGAACCAGCAAGAAATGAGCAGATAGGAGTCAATAAGGAAATGGGTAAGGTAAAGAAAACTCTACTACAACCCTACTCATTACTTTTGCTTTGAGATTAGTATCATTGTGCATTGCAAAAAATAGATAGATAGATAGATAGATAGATAGATAGATAGATAGATAGATAGATAGATAGATAGATAGATAGATAGATAGAAAAAGTGAATCAAACCTCCCAATGTAATGTGAGTCACCATGCACCTTACTTCCTTTCTGCCCACTTACCTAGTCCTCTGGCCTATGTTATTTCTGTTCTATTGAACATGGAAATCAGTGTTTCATAATGGTTTGAGGATAGTCATTCCAACATCATAGTGTTACCCCAAACTACTTCGGTATTTCCCATCTTTAGCTGCCTTCCCTATTGTCTTTCTATATTCAATTCTAACTTTAAATTTTCTCCACTTTTATCATCCCTCCAAGATATAGTGCTATTGGAAAAACCTTAAAACATGAAATTAAATTGTGTCTTATATCCATAGAATCTACCTTACAATGTTATTTCCAGGCACATGTAATAAGACAGTCTAGCTGAAATACAAATAGTAAAGTATTGAGAGAATATTTAAATTACTTTAAGGATTTAAGAGATTAAATATTTTACCCTCCAAAAACCTACACATTGCAGATAAATTAAGCATGTAGCAAAAACTGAAAATACTCACAAAATGCAAATGTATCAGAACTTCAAAAGTATTAATTAAATCACATCATTATGGCTTTTCACCATAAGTTGCTCACTCTCTATTCATAGCTGTTGGACTATAATTAGCTCTTTTGACTTTTTACTTTGCCAAGTTGCCTGTGCTCAATGTTTCTTTCTCTTCCAAGGAACTGAAGGAAGAAGAAGCACAGTCAACATTATTCTCAACTGATCCCACGCTCATAAAATGTTTCTGTGACATGAACATGAACGCTTAAGAAAAAAAAATCTCCATTTATTGCAGTTGTCTCATGAAGAAATATTTATCTTAAAGTCAATACAGTTCTTGGAATTTATTTTTATAGGTCCTTTTCCATAACTTAAATCTATGTCAAGTTCAGTTCAGTGGTACAATCAGAAGGCAGCAAGTACTTCAGTTTTCTGCCCCTCTTTGTGGGGTAGCCTTGAGGTGCTTAAACCCTGCTTCCTCTCTAAAGTAAAGGAAATCTCTGAAACTTTGGTCATCTTGTTGAACTTCAGTGTTGTTCTTTTTTAGATTCTGATTGGCTTAAATTATATTTTCTCAGCCTCAACACTACCAACAGTTTGGCCCAGAGAACTCTTTGCTGCAGGAGCTTCCCCAGGCATTTTGCAACATTGCTGGTCTTTCTCCCTAAATGCCA